CCGTCCCATTTTTTTGGCGAGATGTGCAGATTTTGCGTTTTGAACAGTTGCAAAAACTTGTTGAAGTACTTTCTTCTCGAAACCAAAAATTTCCTTACGCGAGTTACGTTAGAAACTTGCATATTATTGCTAGAACGCGTAGAACTCCTTCCAAAACTCGATCACTCGAACTGAAAACGCTACTGTATCAACTCATTAGTATAGACACTTCCTGGAATCTATTAACGTTCACCCTTGATCTTGATTTTCGTGATTGTCAAGAAATTTCGTCACGGACTGACTTTTTTGCAAAAATTGGACACAGTCTGGAACGAGTATCGTTGCATGGATCTTCACCATTTTGTAGTGATGCTTTGTCATTCTCTGTTGGTGAATACTGCACCAACTTAAAAGAAATAAAACTTGTTAGTAAATCAGGAAGCAAGTTTCATAATGATCTTTTTGCCCAAGTCGAATGGTTGTAATTCTTTCAATATTATTCATTTAATAAGGAATCGAGATATTTTCATGGATATGGTATTGCGCACATTGCTGAAAGATGCGCTCTTACCGATCTAACAATATGGTGTCGGCAAGTGACAAGTTCCGTGATAATTGTACGTATCGACTTTGACGTTTGCATAATTCCTATATTGATCGACTGAATGCAAAGCATTTATTTTTTTTTAAAGTCTATTCTCAAGGGTCGATGTAGCAAGACTTTACAATTTTTATCGATAAAGAACTGTGACTTGGACGACAAACCATTGTTAAAAAATATTCCGCCTTCAGATTACGAACAAGGAAATGATAACCCTGTGACTCCATTGCTTCCAAGTTTGAAGTCACTCGCTTTCATACAATTGTACGAGTTCCCTTCTGGTAACATATTAACATCTGCCGGATTTTTACGATTAATAGAATGTTTTCCTAATCTAATCGAGTTAGAGCTAGTGGCCTCTGATGACTCGTCAATCGTAAACGACGCATCAATCAATAATATCATTCACAAACTGAGGAAATTAGAGGGTTTTATCATTATAAATCCTTTTACTGATAAGTTGCCATTTCACCACTTGGGTCATTTCAATGTGACAGTTGAAGGATTGTTGACGGCCATAAAAGACCGTCCCGAAGTGAGACTAAGGGTCGGGGCATTTGATAGTGGATGTCATTAATTGTATATTTATCAAATGAAGCTCTAAATATAAATACAAACTGCCTATTTAAATTATGTTATGTTACAAAATGTTCTTGAATGCATGCGTGATAAGTTATCTAATGTCGCTGTTGTATTATACGTTTCAATTCTTTACACCGAAACCACGAATCTTTAAGGATTCTATCAAAAATAGATAAGCATTAATAAAAGGATGAATAAAATGTTTTAGGACTCACGATCTAATAATACCTCATTCTTTGGATTGCCAGTATGGCCGTTACAGCGCCGCGAAATTTAATCAACAACGGTGAAGGTCTCAAGTGCGTCATGCGATGGACAGGATTTTGTATGTCGGATATCAAAAGGAGGGTTGCTTGTTCACTAAAAATAATCGAAGATGTTTGAAAACCAGAAGAATTATATGTAATGAAATTGAAAAAACAAACCATGATTCGGCACCACCAAGCAACAACATCATAAACTTTTTTTGATAACTCAAATCAGCACGGAATCCTGATTCTCGCAGACATTTAGTTTTAAGATATCGAATCTCTTTAATTAATAGGTCACACTCTTCAATGTATCTCTTTCGCTCGTTCCTTAGTTCAGATTGATACTTGTGTTTATATTTTGCGTCCTAAGCAAGGAAAATATAGTCAAAAAAAAAATAATAATAATAATTTTTTTTCAATTATTTACTAGAATGATTACCTGTTCTTCAAGTTTCCGCTGATACTCTTCATGAATTTCGTCCCTGCTAAAATTCATAAATAACTTTAACAAAAATGAAATCATTCATAATTGCTGGATTATTATTTAAAAGATGGAAACCTTTTGGCATCAACCGAATTGGTATTAATCGCCTGCAATTCTTCCATTAATTCTAGTCGCCGTTGCGTGACCTGGAATTCTTCTTGAAGGGCATCGATTTCGTTCTGCGCCGATTCCTTTAACTCTTGAAGTTTGTTATTTGCGGCGATGAGATCGTGTTGCAGCTTCGAATTTTTATCCAAAATTATCTTGACTTCGTCATCAATGGGCTAATCACAAGAAATATTTCAGAATAATGATAATATTACTATTAATAAAATTGAAAATGAGAAAAATAAAGAAAACAAATAAAAGACAATCGGTAGATTATACTCACTGCGCCACGATGTTTGCTTGCCGCTTCAATGTGTTGTAATTGTATCTTAAATTGATTACGCTCATGGCTTAAAGTGTCCTGCATTTCTTCCAGTTTTTCTCTTAACATATTGCATTGTTCTTGTACAGCCTGCAATTCGTCTTCGTATCTCGATAGTTGTTCACTCTTGAATTGATGGTCACGGCGCTCGGACTGCAATTGATCAGTGATATTTTGAATCTCCACTTCGAGAGCTTTTACATGCTCTTTTTCGTCACGTATATCAACCTCAAGTGATTCTTTCATCTTTCCGTAAAATGGATCTCGTGATTCAGTTGAAATTAAAAGTGATCAAAAGGTTTAATTAAGATAAATACCTCATTAGAAATCAAGTACTTTCGCTGCAACTCGGATTTCTCCTTGATTGCGGCATTCTTTTCTTTATTCAATTTTGATGTCTTCTCCTTTTCGGCTTGAAGTTCGCCTTGTAGATCCTTTATCTTTTGGGATGCGCGTTCTGAGGCGACATCCTTTTCTATAAACAAACTTTTCATGTTAAAGAAATATATAAAATTAACTTTACCCATCAATACTTAATTCATGGTGACCAACCTTTTTGTAACCGTCTTAATCGACCTTCGAGCTCCGTGATCGACGCATTTTTATTACGGTATCGAACCGACTCCTATTCAAAATTTAATAAATTGTTTTATGATAATTGCCTTCACCATCTTAATGATATCGATTTCTTACTTTTTGCATGTTATCTAACTGCAGTTGCAATTCCGTTTTTTCTTTAGTCAAAAGAGCTTTTTCCAAAGTTAAGGTCTTTTTATTTGCTGTAATAGACGAGATTTCTTCTTTCAGATCTTTAATAATCGAGCTCAATTTTTCTACTTCCTAATAAAATGTTACAAGCTGAGCAAGAATTACGGCGGTAAGAGAAAGATCTCGTTAAATGAATATATGAAAATGCTTTCACCTTCTGTAAATTTTTGATTTCACGCTCAGATGTTTCCTTATGAATTCTCAATCTTTTATTCAAGGTTTCTTTCTCCTGTTTCCAAGAATCTTCAAGTTCCTTGTGATTCGTTTCTAATTCCGCAAGCTGTTGAGCCTTAGTTTTGGTGCTAGATTCCTTTAGTCGAGTGCGCTCTTTGTTCATACGTTGCTTAAATACCTCCATATTTTTGGCTTGCTCTTCAACTACTTCGTTCCACTCTTTCCGCATTTTCTCTCCAATCTCAAGTTGCTTCTTAAGAGATGCATCCGTTTGGTGGAATTTGGACTCAAATTTTTCTGCACGCAATTTAAATATTTGAAGTTGTTCAAATACATTGCTAAGTTCTGCATCTAAAATTTCGATTTTTTTTTTCATTTCCTCTTCCTTGCTTTCCGATCTTGCCTTCATCTCCTTAATTATTATACGAAGGGATGCATTAGCGTTTACCTCTAGCCTCCACGCCTCATGAAGTTTTTTGAGTTGTGTCTGCGAACCGTGTTGGTCGTCTTGATCACAGTTCGTGATCAAAGCAATTTTAGATTCTTCCTTCTGTGGCTGCTCTTCTTTCAATTTATACAACTCAAGAGCCTCTCCGTACTTCTCAATAACTTGACCCTGGGTCGAGACCAATTTGCGTAATTTCTCAACTTCTTCATGCGATCCTCGATTAACAGAGGTTATGAAAATGCTGTTATCTGAAAAGATATTTTCTTTCGATTTCAGTGACATTATTAACGCTTTTATCTGAGCCGATAATTTCATATTGTCCGCTGATAATTCATGAATGCTTGTTATCAAAAGACTGTGATTGCTATTATTATCGAGATCACCGCTTAAAATCTTTCGATTATCATTGACGTCTAAATAAATAACATCAATCGGCGATGAGTGGTCAATTAATTATACAAAACAGAATCCAATCGATCCTTAAACGCACGATTTAAATAAGAACAAACCTTGGATAATTCGCTTTTGTAAAACTTCGAATGTCTCAATCCTTTTCATGTAATTCTCGAATAATTGGACATGAACCTCGATCCCTGACTTACTGAGTTCTTCTTCAAAAACAGTGGCAGCAAAGCCATCAACTAGAGAAACGATATTTGCGGGAATATTAATCATGCTTTCTCCCGCATCCACAATTGCTTTCAGATCTTCACGTTTTATTTCCAGCATGTCATCGATCATCCTTGAAGCACGATTGAGATTGTTTGAGCGTGGGGTTTGTTTTCGTTGTTTCTTGGGAGATCCCGCGAATGCCGATTCCGCCAGGCGTTTAAGTATTTCAGTGTTTTCCTCCATGACTTTCTGCATATGTGAGGCTTGTTGATGCAAACCTTCAACCATTTGTTGAATATTCTGCATTGACTGTGAGATATTTAATTTACTGAGGTTTGCGAAATTGTTTTGTTGCGAGACGACCCTCATTAGTTCATCAACGTATTCCACGGTCTGCATGTTCTTTTTCAGAGTAATCCCATTATCCTTTTCTATCCTATTTTTGCAGTAGCAGCGGGAGAAACGAAAATTAATTAGCTCGCAACATTCAACAGCTTATTACATAAGGGTACCGGAGATAGATTACTTACATCATACTGTAATTCGAAACAGCGCTCGCGGATATCTCCTTCAAACCATTGTTCGAGATTGGGCCTCTGCATTGTGAACAGATTATATCCTGCAATTTTAATTCCATTTCATTGATTACCTGTTGCTTGCGAATTAATTCGTCTCGCAAAAGGGAAATTGCTTTATCAGTGTTTTGTATGCCATCTTCCATGAACTGGATTTTTTCTTGCGCGCCATAAAGCTTCTTAGAAAGATTTTGGGCGGTGAATATTGCCTTCTCAACATCAAGGTTCTTTGACTCAAGTTGTTCGTGTAGATTTCCTAGTTGGACCTTTAGTGCCTGTAATTCTGGTTGAATGGATCTCATGCTTGACCTGCGCGGAGTGTATGCTGACCGAAGATTATAATCACCACTGCGCAAGAATGAAAGGTCTTGCGACAGCGAAACATCCATTACCTACATAATCAGGATAGAATGAAAATCTCAAAATTTACATATTAATACTTTTCTTGAAATACCTTATCCGTGGAATTAAATGAACTTTTCACCAATTCACTTATCCCCTCGACAATTTCACCATGAATTTGCCCTTCGTTTCGCGTAGAGTAAGACTTTGCCGGATGGTCAAAGTTCCTGTTCTGTTCCCTAATCAACTCCTCCTCCTTCAACCTCAATATGCGTTGCAACTCCACATTTTGAATCTGGAGCTCTTCAATTTTCGTTAATTTGATATCATCCTGTGCTCTTTGAACCACTTGGGTAAGTTGATGCAGCAATTTACCATTTTCAACGTAGGCATCATCAAGTTTTGCCTTCAACTCTTCTATCATATTCTCGTATTGAAAAATGAATGAATCATTACTAGAACTCATGGTACTATGAGAAATGTCTCCAACATTTTGTGTCATGTTGTTGGAAGTCTCGCTATTACACTGCTGCAGTTGCTCGATCTTAAGTGCTTTGGATTTGATGTCTAACTCGTTCAGCTCTATCTTCGATTTCAACTCGACGATCACATTTTCATGTTCCAAAAGCTGACGTTTTGTGGAGTCCAGTGACAAACGAAGTTGTTCCAGTTGCGAAATTTGTTCGTTTTTGGAGAGCAATTCGGCCCGCATCGAACTACATTGTGTACGTAAGGAACATATCTCATTTTCCAAACGTTCAAATCTCCCTTCATCTTCTGAACCCAAATTTAAAGTCCACCTATGAGGTTTTGCAGTTTCTGCAGGTTTTATGTGCGGGTCACATGATCTATTCTCCATCATATCGACCATTTCACTAAGCTGAATCTCTAAACGTTGATTCCTGTCATTAATCTCTTGCAGATTCTTTGATAGTTTAGCATTTTCTGTCTTCAGCACATCCTTTTCAGATTGCAATTGCTCATTTTTCTTAATTGCCTCCTGATTTCCATTATTATACTTATGATTCGTCCCATTACTGGAATATAGTGCATCCTTCCCTGTGGACATTGAATGTAGATTTTCCAAGTCATTAATGTTAGCTTTCAGACTCTCCAGATTCTCAACTTTATTTAACAAGTCAGAAGTTTCAACTTCGGCTGACTTAACTTGATTTTCCAAAATTCTTCGCTTTTCGAGAATTTCGTCTAATTCTTGTCTCAAAGATTCGTTTAGATGAACTGCCTGCTTGATTTCTTCCGTGCGTCTTGATTTTTGTTCGGAAAACTCAATCTTCCGTGCTTCATGGCGTTCTTTCGCCGAGTTCATGTTTTTACTGATCATCTCCATGTTAGTTGATAAATCCTCTACTTGTGAAAGAAGTTTTTCCTTTTCTATAGTCAAGTAATCTCGGCGAGATTGTAGCTCACTCCTTTGATTTTCTAAAAATCGGTTTTGTTTCTCTAAATTTCTGTTTGTCTCTCCAAGTTGCTTGATACGTGGTCCGTATCTCGCATTTTCTCTTTCATATTCTTCAACCCATTCGCCACCGCCTTGAATACGAGCGAGTTGTTCTTCGAGCAAACCCACCTCCTCCCCTAAGCTGTCTATTTGTTTTGAATTATCCTCTTTCATGGTCGCGTGTTCAGCTTCCAACTTCTCATGATCTCTTTGAAAATGCTCCAGTTTGCTTGATAATTTAGTCTTCTGCTCAACCAGTTCGATTATTTTTTTGTTAAGTTCCTCTACATTCTTCAACAAATCTTTATTTTGCTCTTCAAAAATATTGCGCTCTTCCAGTAAGATAGCGTGATCTTCTTTCAACTCTCGAATTTCCTCATTTGAAGTCTTGACTTTATTTTCCAGCTCCATTTCCTTTTTGTTTTTTTCCTCCAGTTTATTTTCAATGTTTATGTAGTCAATCGACATCAGACGTAACTTCTCCAACGCAAAATCCTTTTGTCGTTCTAAACTATTTCTTTCATCCTCTAAAGCAAGCTTCTCTTCTTGTGCCATTTCCTTTTCGATTTCGAGATCTTCAACACGTTCATCCAGCTCCTCCATTTTTTTCTTGTACGATAAGATTTGATTTTCCAAAGACAGAATTTTCTCATACGCATTTTGATCTTCATTCCGCATATTGTTCTTCACACCAACAAGACCGTCCTTCTGCTTGGCTGAATTTTCACCATCCTCATCGGCACCAATTTCAAACTTGCCTTCGTAAGTATCCTGTTCGTCTTCTTCCTCTTCTTCCTCTGGGTCGTCAATTGGCCCATCATAATATTTCTGGAAGTCATACTCTTCGTGAATGACCTGCCCATCAACATGGTACATTGGCGATGAGTCAATCGGGTCGAAATCGTTGTCGCTCTCAAGTTCATCTTGATTAGACAGCTCCTCGCCTTCTGAGTATTGATTGTCATCTTTTTCTTGTTCGACTTCGTGTGCTCCGGAAATCAAAGATCCCTTCAAGCTTGTGAGATTGAAACCGTTTTTGCGTTCTATGCGTTCATCAGACGAGAGCAACGAAGTTCGTCCGTCCAGAGCTTGTAACGCATCATCCGAGCCAACAATGCCGGAACTCGCTTTGGTACGGTCCATACTTCCAAAATTCTTGGAAATTTTCTTTTGTCAAGTATCGTTTTTATCTTCTGATATAGCGAATGTGTAAATTAAGATTAGACTCATCCGAAAAGCAAAGCCATCCCTAAACTAAATAGCATTATTTCTAACATTATTTATGTTTATTTTAAAATGTGTACCACGTGTTACACAGCATATACTGTATTAAAACAAACGTATGAAAAAAAAATTTTTAGCTATCTAAAAATTAGTATGAACAAAGATCTACCCCTAGAAGAAATTCCTAAAACTGGCTTTAAAATCCTTAAAGTTCATGTCCAGTCCTACAATTATACTCAATATGTGTCGGCCTCTCATTACTTGTTTATAAAAGGTCACGAATCACGCGGAAACAATAACACCCCGACAAACACACCACCTGAGAGAACTCTGTTTATTTCAAATATACCTGCAGATGCAACCAGAGAACACATTAAAAATATATTTGAATATTGTGGCGAGATTGAGGACGTGTTGTTTCACGAAATTTTTGATGAAAAAGAATTTCTGATTAACGAAGATAATGACCTCGAGGGAGACGACCCTGAGTTAGTTCCTTCGGAGGACAAAAAGCAACAGGGAAAGAAATCAAAGAAAAGGAAAAGCCAGAATTCAAAAAGCGAAATTATTAAAGACACGATTTTTCTAAACTCGTTGATGGGAATAAGAACTCTTATGGTTCCAGGTTCTTCGGCTTATTTAATATTTAAAGATCCAGAAGGATTGAAAAATGCACTCAGTATGAAGCAAAAAGAAAGACACTGGAGTTATGATTATTTAACAGATGAACCTTTGGGTCTTTCTAGTAAATTTTTAAATCTTCTAAGTTACTTGTCTTTTTGTGGATCAAACTTTTCTAAAATAATTAACAACAGAATGGACCAACAAATACTCGTATCTTCGAAAAAATCCGAATGAACTTCAACTTAAGATCGACAAGTATATGCGCAATTTCGAGGAGGCGGAGCAAGAAAGGCGTCGATCTTTGGAAGCAAAGCATAACCAACCAGATGAAGATGGATTCATACTGGTTACCAGAACAGGGAAGAGGAATGTTAATACTGACGGTACTATTACAGTTACAGCAGCAAAACCAGAAGATATTAAAAATCTTAAGCCCAAAAATAAAGAATTACCCGACTTTTATCGTTTTCAAATGCGCGAAGCCAAAAGAAACAGTAATTATAGCGAAAGATACTTCGTTTTAATGATGTTTGGGATATTGCATTTTCTTTATCTATTCTTTTTTTTTTCTCTAGGACTTGTTGACCTGCGCAAAAAATTCGAAGAAGACAAACAAAAAATTGCGAAACTTAAGGCTAACAGAAGATTTAGGCCATATTGACTTGTTTTTGGTTCTCCTATTTTGATTGTAAATGCTACCTTTTCTTGGACGTTATGCCATTCAGCGTAGTCATGGATGGATTATGTTGGCAAAATTCCCATTAATATTACATTAGGGTGCTTTATCAATCATTTCAAATTTAGTATATAGTTGTGAATGATACGATCTCTTATGACAAAAACTTGCATTCTTTAAATAACGGTCGCATTTTCTTTTTTTGAGCAGAAATGCAACTTGTAAAAACATAAAAGCAAAAAGTAATAGATAAATATAAACATTACTGTGTATAAAATATTAAATTGCAGTTATAGAAAAAAAGATAAAATTTATACAAGATTAATAAGAAGAAACCAATCAAGACTATTAAATTGTTATTTAAAAAAGATATTCAAGATATATATATATATATATTTTTAAACCCTCTGTCAGGCTAGTTATGTGTGCTTTATTAAACAATTGTAAGCTGTACATATAGTATGAATCGCTA